CCCTAAACTCCATAAAAACCCCATTATATCAGCTGCAATATTAGTTAAAATTTAACTATATATTAGGGGTGGGCATCAAGACCGGAACACTGAGCCGCACAGGATGGAAAAAATCAAAAAAAATCGTGTTGACTAAAAAGTCAACAAATTGGCACCAAACCGATTCAAATCGGTTCCAATGCCGATTTCACACCTTACAAAACTGGATATGACCGGCTGCGTATTTTTTTTAAAAAAAAATTATTTAAGTCCAATGCTAAATTTCTAATCTAATAACTAATATTTCCCCAAGCCCAAACTTCAAAGCACCTTTCTTTTCTAGTCAATTTGGTCTTTTCAAATACTTGGAAGTTGTTGAAGAATATATAATCTCATATCAAAAAGTTGACTAGATAAATTACAACTTATAATAAGTGGTTCCACTCCTAATAACACCGAGGTTTTTTGTGATAAAACCCCACACCTACCGGGCTTTGTAGGTGGTTAAGTTAGGGACAATATCGATGTTGCTATAAATCTTCCACTGCACATAGACCCAAATGATTAACTCCGATGTGGACTTGACTCCATGTGTGGCCCACTATGTGGTGGTCCCACGTGAGGGGGCGTGTTGAAGAATATAAAGTCTCACATAGGAACACCGAGGCCTTTTATGATAAAATCCCATAGATATCGGTGTTGCTAGTAGTGGGCTCGACTTACTCGGTGACATTTTGGCTATTTGGGAAATACAAATACTCTCTCTGCTTTGAGCTTGATGAAATGCTGAGAGGAAAACGAGAATATGAGGAGGAAGAAAGACTAATATCATCGAAGTGACACCAGTATCCTCAGAGCCAAGACTGCATATTTTGGACTCGCCTTTCCTGTTCGATGAGTCTTCAGTGGTTGTTTGTGCTTAAACCCTTAAGCTTTTGCCGTGGATGAGGACGCCATGAAGTGACAAGTTTTTGCTCATTGGAAAGCTTGAGTCATGTACCTATTGACTTGAAATACAATGAGAAATGAGAAATTCTAATTATTCTTGGAATTGTAAATTTTTTTCCAGAAACAACTTTAATGTTTCGTCTTTTTTCTTTTGTTTTTTTTTTTTTTTTTAAACGAAGTGAATTTTAAAGAACACTTAAATATAGGATAGAATGCAAGCAAAGAAGGGAGATCTACGCCAATTGACTTAGTGCCCGTTTGACATTGCTTATTTGGGGTGATAAGTGATTTTTTAAAAATTTTGAGAAGTCCAGCTCGTTTGGTAAACTGTGAGAAAATCACTTATTGTTAAAAATTGCTGTGAGAAAAAGCTATAAGGGAAAGCAGCTAATGAAGTGCTTTCATTTTCTGATTATGTAGGAATCAGTTTTGAAGAGGCGCTGGGTTTAATGATTATGCCACAATCATTTTCTGATTATGAGGAAATCAATACCAACAACGCTTTTAACAAAAAATTTACCAAACACCAAACTGCTTTCCCTCATAGCTGATTTCTCTCACAGTAAATCTGACAGCGATTATTTTCACAGCACAGCAATGCCAAACTGGCCCTTAGTGCCCGTTTAGCATTGCTTATTTGGGGTGATAAGTGATTTTAAAAAAAATTTGGGAAGTCCAGCCCGTTTGGTAAACTGTGAGAAAATCACTTATTGTTAAAAATTTCTGTGAGAGAAAGCTATAAGGGAAAGCAGCTAATGAGGTGCTTTCATTTTCTGATTATCCAGGAATCAGTTTTGAAGTGGCGTTGGGTTTAATGATTATGCCACAATCATTTTCTAATTATGAGGAAATCTATACCAACAACACTTTTAACAAAAAGTTTACCAAACGCCAAATTGCTTTCCCTCACAGCTGATTTCTCTCACAGCAAATCTGACAGCGATTATTTTCACAGCACAACAATGTCAAACTAGCCCTTAATCCACATTTGCTTTTATTTTTTATAATAAAATACTTTTTTTTGTTGGTCAATAATGTTAGGTTTCTTTAGTTATATATAATCTAGATCTTTCACACAAATATGTAATACGTATAAAGACATGAAGACATACTTGGAGCCATCTTCCTTGAGTACACAGCTTCTGAACTCATTCAATTTGGCTCAAGACTTCTGCTCTCTCTCAGAATCTGTTTCAGCTCTCTCTTTATGATGAGAATAGGTTTAGAGAACGTGTCTGATGAGAGCAGGACCTTAAGCTTATATAGGGCTAGGTCAAGTTGTCTCTACTCATCACCGAGGGCCGACTTGACTAATCTTCCAAGCCCATTTAATCGGTTCACGCAAAAGGGAAACAAATTAGGACTCCTTAATAGGCCTCAAAACCCTTCCTTATTCCACAAGGTCTTGGGCCTCAAGGTACGACTTAATTTAAACTCTTACCAAACTTGATATAACTTAGTATCTAATGCACCGATCCAAATAGGAAAACATAACAAATAAAAGATTGTAATTTCAATATAAAAAGAAAAAACCAGACCAAGAGATTTTTTTTTTTTTTTTTGATGAGATAGGGGGGAACAAACCTCAAAAAGAAACAACAACTAACTAGTACATACCAAACGAGGCCTAATAACGCCCTAAAGAAGTTTCTTTTTGAGATTTTCTATTTAAACCTCATACTTCTCTTAGTTCACCCCAATACTTAAATTATTAAGCTGTAAGTTTTATTATTGTGTAAAAAGACAAAAAAAGTAATCCAACTTAATACTTAACCCTATACACACACCCCACAACTCTTCAAAAGACACGAAACAAGGGAAGTTTTCTTCATATTATATTAATTGACATACACTTTCAAAAGACACGAAACCAGGGAAGCCACACAGGTGGTCAACTGCAAAACTGAGTATGAATGGTACAGTACAAGTTGATCCATCTTTACCCACGTAAAAATAGAAAGCACATGTGTTCAAATTTCATCACCATAAAACTAATAATATTATTAATATTGATGCAGTACATCTTTTGGTACAGTACATTGAGTTTGAAAAGGTCCTGCACACTTCTGATATTTTTCAAAATCATTATTCATCCATTTTGTCCCATTGCTATAATTAACGTCTAGTGATCCAGCAAACCCAAAACCACCATAGCTCTTATATTCTTGATCACTTGCATGTTTATGCACTTGAAAATAGACAATGAATAAAACTCTGAAATATCATCAAAAAATTAATTTAATACTTACTATTTCTCATGCCCAGAACATATTTCCTCCTCTAAAGATAGCTTGTGGGGTTTAAATAGAAAATCTATTTTATTTCTTATTTTTTCAGCTTGTGGTGTATTTAAGGGTAGTTTGGGAAGATAGTGGGGTTTATTTAGAAATTGTGAAAATTTAAATTAAAAATTGGGGTGAACTTAGAACATGGGGTGAACTAAGAGAAGTGTGGGGTTTAAATAGAAAATCTCTTCTTTTTTGTCAAGAAAAAGAGGTTGTGATCAGCTCCTCCAAGTTTTTTTTTTTTAAAAATAAGAAATTAAAAAGTATACTAATTATTACACTATTTATCCCAAACCAAAAAGACAACAGAAGTTAAATAGGAAGAAAAATAGAAAAAGAAAGAGAGGTGTCTGGTGGTATGGGTGATGGCGGTAGCGGCAACTTCAGAAACAATTGACGCTCAAATTGGGCATCTCACCGTCTAAAGATTTTGATTTTCTTGCACAGACCAAACCCTTCTCTCATTTTCTGAGGAAGACGCGACAGAGGAGAGAAACAAGAAAAAGAAAAGAACAAAAATGGGACCTTCGAAGCACGGTACGGACAATAACAGGGGCCTCACTGGGCACGCATACACCCTCTATCAGCGTTTCAATCATGCTCTCAGCCTCGGTAACAGGTTTGCCTCACACCACTTTTATCCTCATCCTTCAATTTCAGGCTCGGGTTCTGTTTTCATATGAATTAGAATGAATACAAGTTCTTTTTTTTGGGGGGGTTTTTTATCTAAGCTCAAGAGTCTAAACATGGTTCTTTTGTGTGGATTATCTAGTATGGTATAGCGAAAATGGGTTCTTTTAGCTCAACCCACTTGAGCTGTATGTTGAAAATTGATTGGCGTATGATTGAAGGCAACTTCCGGTGGTTGGAATTAAGTTTTAGTTGCAGTAAATGTAAGGTCTTGTTGAGGGCTCATGTGGCCTGGTCTGCTGGTCGTCACCTTAGTTTGATATCACCTTGTGGAGTTCAATTTTGAGATTTTAACTTGGCTTCAATGCAATTTAAGGAGATATCCCAGTGATTTTGTTCCATGCACACCATATTGTGTGACTTCCATTCCCACGATCATCATGCATTGTGCTTTGCCCAACCAAACCCTTTGCTCCAATACAGCACCTGTTAGTGGCTCAAGTGATTAGGAGACTCACCTTGCTCCAATATTTTCACAACTTAACCACCTTCTGGAGTTGATGGTTTAACTTAAAAGTCCTTATTGGAACTTAAGGGGATAACCTGCTTGGTATATCCAATTCTGTACGATCTCCTATCCTATTTAAGACAATTGTAATTAATCCACTATTCATAGCTATGATTTGGTGCACTAACATTTGGCATTTCTAGAGTCCTTCAGATAGGGCTTGTTACATCCCTTATCAAGCAATAAACAAAGCCACTAGTTAATGAGAGTCTACTTAGAGTTGAATTGACGTCATATATGGATAATTGATTCAGTTATGACAGAAGAGGCTTAGTTAATTGAAGTCCAGTGTTGTGTAAAAGATGGGTAGATTGATTGCTACAGCTAACAGTATTATTCTTCCTATACTGGCTTGTGTCTTGCAGATTTTGTGGTGACAAGGCAAAAAAATGGCAGTGTATGGATATCGAGATACAAAGACATGTGGTCCATTCAATAGCTGCATTTCTTGATTATATTTCTGGGGATACGCTGCATCATCCACTTGTGAAGGTATAACAATATTGTTCATTTACAATCTCTATGGATCAAACAATTTAGTCTTTTATTTATCTAGCGGAGCTTCACTATGTTGACTGTTGTATTTAGGTTGATCATCAAACTTTATTCATATCACATTATTAGACATGGAATTTTAACCCCTGGTAAGAAATTTTTGAAGAAAACAAATAAGTTGAGTGGAAAGTAGGTGTGCAGTTGCAACTTATTATAGGAAGTTACATGTCATAGGTTGATGTTAATGAGTATCAGCACGATCATGTTGAGGTATGATATATGTTAAATTGTATTGGTATAATTTTTAGCTCATTGAATTACATGCAGCATTTGATGTAGTCTGATGGCTATCGTCCGTGTCTACGTATGGGCTTGTTTTGGTATGCTATCTCTTGAAAGCATAATTTGGTCCTTGCTAATTGAAAATTTGAACAAAACATGCTATGTTTGGAGTTCTATAACATCAGTGGTATGCAATACTATCTTAAAGCATTTCCTGGTTCTCCCTAATTCAATTTTTGTACAAAACATTATGTTTCTAAGATTCTTTAATGCCTTGTTGTAATTTGTATCAGTTCTGAGCTGTATATGTTTTCATTTTTAAATCCTCTCTTCATTTTCTCCATCAATTTTCAGGCTTCAGTTTCTGACATCGTCGGTGCATTAGTTTGGATTCTTCAATCTAACAAGGGAGCCATGTTGAGCATGTCAGCAGATGTGACATTAAAATTAGTCAGCATTTTACCCAAATCAGTACTGCAGCTTTATGCATTAGATCTTGTTAATCCTTTGTCAACTTTATTATCTTCGCATCAAACAGAAGTTGCTATATCATGTGCTGCAGCACTGAATCTTAGTCTTTCAAACCTCAGTACCAAGAGCGGAAAAGAAGTTTGGGATGTTCTCAAGAAAACAGAAATGGTATCTCAAGTTATCAGTAACTTACGATGCTTTCCTGGATGTGCAAAGCCGGTAGAATATTTCCAACAGATGGCTTTACTTTTGAGTACAATACTATGGTGGTGGCCTCCATCTAGGTTTTCTGTTTGGAGTGATGCTGAACTGATGAAAAGTTTAAATGATATGCTAAAGCTAGATAATTATGGAAAAGCTGCAGTTTTGAAGTTGTATTCTTCTATAGGTATTAAACATTCAATCAGGAAGAAAACCATTTTACATGTTCAAATTTTATCAGTTAGCCTTATATTCTAGACTGTTTGGATTAAGTTTCTATTAATTTTTCCAGCTTTATGTGGTCATGGGACCAAGAAATTATTAGAAAGTGGAGAGGTCCTTGAACAGATGGTGCAATGCATGGACAACTCACATCCTCATTCTGTTCGAATTGAAGGATTCAAGCTAGCCCAGTGTTTAGCGGTGCTAATTCTATCTTGGTCTCCTTATAAGAAATCTTGTTACTATAGTTAAAGGGTCGTAACGATGTTTTAACTCAATTTTCTTTTATGGTTTTGTTTCAGATAAATGAAAATACAGGCTTACAAATGATGAGATTATGTTGCAAGCCTATTATCAAAGCCATAATTTCGGGAATGAGTGAGTTGAGCTCAAATTCTAGAAAGGTCTCCAATGACCAGATGTCTTTGCTAGAGGAGGCATGTCGCTTGGCTCTGATTACTCGTTGGACAGGGGAGCATCACATTCATTTATGGAAACAAGGGATTGACAAAATCCTCCTTGATCTTCTCCTTAATTTTCGGAACCAACCGTACAAACATTCCATGTCATTGGACGAGCAAATAGCTACTGCTAAGGAGGGTCTCGATGCCAATTATCTTCTTGTTCTGAGGAGTTACATCTGGGATATTCTTGGATGGCTTGCAATACATTGTGGGGAGGATTTCCACCCTGAAAGTGAACTCTACATTAACATCCTCATTACATGTGCATGGTAAGACTTCATCTGTCAAAGACCTTCCTCATTTTCCAGACCTTTATTTATTTATTTATTTTAAAATATCCTGATACAATTTTCTTTGGACTCCAAGTATTGTTTATATCAGGTGACCCCGCAGTTGTCATTTTAGTTGATATCTGATAGATGGTTGCTACTTTTCTGATTTTCATTCTCTGTATTCTTTGATAGCTTGACCTTTGTTGATGCAATTCGAAAGTGGCATAAAATATATGAAAAGGATAATGCTGGTGTCTTCAGAAGTGAGTCAGCAACAAGGGCAGTTTTGATGATGATTTATTCTCCTTGCAAATACATTGCATCAAGGACCAGAACCATATTGTCTGAAATACTAGAGCCAGATGGATTGGAGTATCTGAAAACCTTAGTGCATTTTCTAAATAATCTGTCATCTTGGACTGAATTTGGAATGCCAGATAGACTCCAAATTATCATTTATTTAATGGGGTTCGCATGCTATTCAGGTTTGCCACAGTACCAAACCTGGGTGGTCAAACGAAGAGGGGTAAAAACATTATTGGCTCTTATGAGGTGGTGCTTAAGTAATGATTTCCATTTAGAAAGATCGAGCTTTGCTCCACATTTGCATAATGCAGTTTGTGAGAGGATATGCTGTTGGGTTTCTGCAGAAGACTGGGAAGGCAAAGACATTCTTTTATTTTACAGTTTGTGGGGACTGGCTGAGTTGATACAGCATTCTCTATGTATAGGAAATAACCAAGACAGAATTTCTTGTGAGATGAGACATATAGAAGCTCAACTAGTTAGCGAACTTCAGGATATCTGTACCAACAGTTGTGCTCCTGGGCTGCAATGGTATGCTGCATTTATTCTTAGTTACTTTGGATATTATGGCTTTCCAGGAAAACATGCAAAAAGGATTGGTAAAGCACTTAATGAGAAGGATGATGCTGATATACAACTCATTCTCGCAAATGGGGAGTGTTTGAGTGTCCATGGTGTTGTGCTTGCAATTCAATGTCCATCGTTACTGCCTCCTGAAGTGCTGCTTCCTGGTGAGGTAACATCTGATGATTCTTCAGGGCGAGGCTCTATGGAGACTTGTAGAGGGTTTCAGAAAGACATAAGATTATCTGCTCATGTTGATCACCAGGCGTTGGTGATGTTGTTGGAGTATATCTATTTGGGATATCTTCAAGCAGGAGATGAACTTGCAAAAAAGTTGAGGATTCTAGCCAAACGCTGTAATCTACAGTCTCTGTTACAGATTCTGTGTAGAAAACGTCCCAAGTGGGGCACTGCTTTCCCAAGCGTGGATCTTAATGTTGCTCTGGGTCCATCTGGACATTGTTTCTCGTATGTTTTCCTACTTTAATATCGACATAGGATATGTTTTGTTGCATCACATCAGAATTGTGTTTTTTTTCCCCTTTCTCTATTTATTTCTATGTTTCACATTTGTGCCTCCATTAGGAAGAGTGCAGTACTGTGGATGATGTAGGAACCTGAGTAGAGACAGGGGCATTGTTCAAATAGAAGGCTTCTTGGTTTGACAATGCAAAGGACATTGTTTCCTAGTATAGACCATATTTTATATTCTAGCTTCATGCTACTAGTTGGTTTTCCAAATGTAATAATACTTGTTTAATTTTGGTTTCAGGGATGTCATACTAGAAGCTAAAGCAACTGAGCTCTTGGGCTGGACATGTCATGTTTGCTCTCTACCACGGCCACATATGCATTCTCACAAAGTTGTATTGTCATCAAGTTGTGATTACTTGCGGGCCTTGTTTAAGTCAGGAATGCAGGAGAGGTACTTGCAATTTGTCTTTCTATATAGACAACACACAGACCTGCACATTTTTTATTGAAAGTGATTATGTATATAGTTGTTTTACATTACTCCAAAAAATTTGTATGTTGAGGTTTTGAGAAGTGGTTCTTCACATTGGCTTACAGTTAAAATGGTTTCCAGCAGTTTCAAGCATCTTTGGCAGGTTGTGGTGGTCTTTTAGCAGAGAAGATGTTGTAGAATTAAAATGATTTTACTTACATAAAACTGTTCATATTGTTGTGTGCATATTTCCATAATGAATTTCTATTATTTTGTGATATTATAAATGTTGTTGTGTAGGATTTGTTAGTAAAGACAAAGACAAAACATAGACATCCCTAAATGGCTTGTCTACCACCTTGTTACTTTTCCTTGTTTTCTTCTTCCTTGTTTTAGGGATGGAAACTCTCCATGTTTCCCTCCATGTCTTGTGCATTGTTTGTAACTAATAATCACCTTGTATATCTAACCCTTCACCAAGTAAGTAATTCAATTGGCAGATTTGAATTCTCTGCAAAACCTATCTTGTTCTTCTTGTTCTACATTCTCAACTCTCTCAATTACACTATATTTGGCAGGATTATTATTAAATGTCTACTATCTTATTGGTAAAACTGTTTTAGCTTGTTAAAGCATGTTCTATACCGTTGTCTTCTCAGAAAGAAAAAGGGAAATATTGTTAATAGGAAGTAAAAAATCATTGATGTGTTATCCTCCTAAAGCAAATAGTTTGGAGATGAGAGTTATGTCATTTACCAGATTCTGTGGCTACCATGTACGCTTCTTATGGGAACCATTTGGCTGTTGATTGCGTTTGCATATCTGGGTCTTTAAGTACAACATTTCATGGCAGTGCTTTTGTGTTTCCTTTGTACCTTCTGTCAGGGGTTGGGTGGGTCGATGGAGAGGTGGCGCCTAGGTTTTTGATTATTTATAATTAGTTTCACATCTGAACTGAAATTTATTTTTGATTTACTTCTACCTATTTTATGTATTTAGGTGCTAGTTCTTCTATCACTTGAAGCAAAAGAATAATAGATCCTTTTCTTTCTGTGCTTCTTTGCATATATGCTGCAATGTATCACTCTTTCTTAAATATTTCTTCATACTTGCAGCCATTTAGAAACCATAAAGGTTTCTATTAGTTGGGAAGCAATGGTTAAACTAGGCGACTGCTTCTATTCCGGTAAGCTGCCAAAGCCTCCCTCTGGATGTTTATGGAACATTATGGATACTGAAGAAAAGTTGCATGAGCTACAGCCATACGTAGAGCTTTTTGGGCTTTCTGAGTTCTGGCTCATGCAAGATGTTCAAGAAGCATGCTCAGATGTAATCGTATCGTGTCTTGGTTCTTCCAGAGAGTTGTCTATTAAAATACTACACGTTGCTGCCAATTTATCTGTGTGGAAGTTGGCCGAAGTTGCAGCAACTTATGCCGCACCTTTATATCGCCAGCTATGCAATTCTGGCGAACTTGAATCGCTTGATGAGATGCTGGTTGAAATGGTTCGTGCAGCCTCTGTTCAACTCTCTCAACAGGGTGGTAACCATTCTAAGTGATTTAATTTTCTTTCAGATTGTTCAGATGATTGAAAAGATATGGAACTGTGAAAACGACTAGTTTTTTTTTAAGAGTTTATTGTGCAATCAAATGTCAATTCTGTCAATTTTCCTTGTGTTCTTTTCTGGGGAAGTTCTTGTGGAGTTAGAGTACGACCTCATCATTTTTTGACGTAAATCCTTGTAAGGAATTGCCTGCTTGAGATTTGCTAATTTTTTTCTGGAGGGCAGATTTGTTCCGTGCTTATTATTTTGATATATAATGCTCCATATGTAAGAATATCTGTTTTGACTCCGAAGCCCCTTATCCAACAATTATCCCCATCTTTCCCTCTCCCTTGGAGGCAGCTTAGCTACTTGGGGTCAATAAATAAGCCTGTTCGTTAGGTGACACTAGTCAGTAAGATCCTCTCACATTGGCCAAAGACATGGGATGACCAGGGTGACGGGTTTATGGGATATAGAGCTGAGCTTCCAATAGACCAATAAATAAGCCAGCTCTTTCTCTACCATTTATAAAATTGGCTTTGGCTGGTGAGTAAGTTATTTTGGGGTTTCAGTGGATCCTTTGATATTTCAGATTCAAGTACTTAGAGAAAAGTTTATGCATCCCGTCCTTTCTTTCTAGGGACGAGTATTCAGGTTTCCTGCCAATTTACAGTCTCCTATCTTAAATCTATCCAAGAAAGGCCTCGAGATTGTCTAGGTTTGTATGAATTTTGGTTTTAAAAATTCTAGTGAAACTTGCTGTAAGCTCTCCTCTTATGCTATAAATTTAATCAGCATTTTTAAAATCAATGACACTTTTGCTTTGCTGGTATTTTTCATGTCCACTTTTGCATTCTCAACATTAGACAGATGAAAAGTTTTCCTTATAAAGTAAGGTTCTTCTGTAACTTCAGTAGTCTGAGAGATGTGCAAGGACGTAAAAAATTCAATTTCATCAGTGTTCCTGTTTTTTTTCCTTCTTTTTTTTTTTTTTTTTTTTGTGGGGAGTGTTAGTGGGAATGGGAATGGTCACAGAAGGTTGGTGGGTTAGGCATTTTTTGAAGAGATATTTCTTTGTTTCTTTTGTCTCAGACTAGGGTGAAAGTGTGACTGTGTTTTGAACCCTTCAAATGTATTGCTTTGTGTTTGATGGTATCTCATGTTATTTCTCGTGTTTCAGTAAAGCAAGCTTTGACTGTGTCACCTAAGCATATGTCACTAATTCATATGTCTCTAGCAGGCTAGCAGAGAGGACCAAGTGCCTAAAATTTACAGTCCTCCATCTAGCAGATGAAGAACGTTGCTACACACGGGGAGAAGTGTGATGGTAGAGGATGGATATCTCTATAGTAGGAGAAGGAACTCCACCATTCAGCCTTGATTTTTTTGTGGTGAATCTCTTAAGTTCTTTTTTTTCCTCTCCTGCAAAAGAAATAAATAGGCATCATCACTGCCCTTGAAGTGAAATTAGTGTATCATGAGTGCTCTCAGAAATCAGATATGTGTCCATCATTTTCAGCAGGTTGATGCTCACAATATCTTGAACACTTTTGTTACCTTTTCTTTTGGGATATTAACAATCTAGAATTTAGAGGGTTTTGAAAAACGCAATTTATCTGTCATTTTATTTTCCAGTAATCTGTGAGTTATTGCAACTGAAAACCTTTAATCTTGTTTTGAACCACATACACAAACCCACTAAAATACATATTCATTTAGTTCAATTAAACATCTACTAGATCAATGGGGATCCTGGTATTAAAGCTGATACAGAGTTTTCTGGTATTGGTAACACCAAACTCTAATTTTGTATTTGAGGGAATGAATAGTTTTTCATCAGTTGATGTATTTGATAATACTTTTATAATATTGATTTTACTTTTCATTACTATCAAATCTCTGGGTTTTTTTCTTCTTTGGAGACTCCCCTGATTTTACATTGAAAAAGATTAGATCCAGTTTCATAAAATTTTGGTTTGTAATTCTTCATGTTTTTGAACAATTTTGAGAAACACAGTGCTTGTGTGTGTTTGTGGGAGTGGGATACAATGTCATTAAAGATATCTTCATTTTTATAGTCATATTTATGGCCTCTTTTAATTAGCAAATAGAAAAAGATAATGAACATTATATTCTTCTATTAAAATCATTGAGAAATTCATATAAGTATATATGCTATTAGTTGTGAATTTTTCGAAGTTTCAAAATATGATGATTTTAGAGTTGTTCTCATTGTTGTGCTGTTTTCTTTATTTCCTTTGAAGTTTTATAGCCCTGAGCTATGTGCCTTCTCTCTCTTGCAGTACTATCATTGATGATGCCTGTGCATAACTTACGTGGATTCGAGTGGAACAACCAGGAAGAAATAAGATTATCACAGCAATTCCATTAATGAAGTTGGGTTGTAGAACGAGGACAAGGTATCTTACCAACTTACCAAGTACAATACCCAGTTCATATCTTGGCTCAGAAGACCCTGCACATGTATACCAAAAAAAAAGAATCGTGCACATATCACAAACCCAAGTGCCATAAAATTATCAGGGGTTGATGGTGGAGAAAGAAGAGCAGATGTAGAATTCAAGTGGCGAATGAAAAACAGATACCAATTAATCCTGATGGACTGTACTGGTAAACCTTTGAGAAGAAAGTCTTCACCATCATGACAGAAGAATGAAGGAAGAAAATATTGGAAAGAGGATGAAATAGGACTAAACCTGCCTTGATCCCATAATAATTTGAAAGTTTGGGTAAGAGTACAAATTGCAGAACAGATGAACAGTCACTCAAGCTGGGGAATCAAATGGCAGGTCACCAATGACAATTTGAGCAGGTCGGGATGCACAAAGCCAAATCTGCTACGAACTTCACTATCTGCATAGTTCAAAGCCTTCTGCATCCCCTTCCAACAAGCTTCCCAAGTGTAAGCAGGGTTGTGTTCCCTGCTGCCAAGGCACACCCGGTGAAGTGCGTGACAAAAGGCCTTCTGAGTTTATCCTTCCAATAGCCCTTATTCTTCAGATATTGCTCTCTGATCGTTCCATAGAACAAGCTCACCTTCTCTGCATGTCTCCTCCTCAACATTACCACCTCTCTATCGATCTCCATATACCTTTTGGTGATATTGTCAAGACCATCCACTATTCCCAACCAGTACCCACGGAGGCTGTACTCATTCTGTAAATAAGTCTTGTCTGCCCGCTTTTCTTTCTATTCTATTAGAAGATAAATTGGAGCCAATTGATCGTCTGACTGCGGAAATAACTTGTCTTTGAACATTGACTTTTGGATTCGGTCTCATCTTCCATAATCTGGGCTCTGTGGCCTGTTGCATAGATACAGCTGCACCAAAATGGATTCAGTTGCATCCTCAATTTGTGATACTCGCAAGTGCACGAACCGTTGGTAGTTTAGCGTATGTAAGTGCGAGGTCGATTCCACAGGGATTGGTGATTGAATGATCCAATTTAGTTTCCCTACACAAAATAGAAACAAAAACAAAGAACATAAAACAAGGAAGAAAGAAATAAGTAACTCAAGCAAATAAGTTCCCAAGTTCAATT